AAAAAAAAAAAAAAAAAAAGACAACAATTTGGATACTATAGAACTTGACCTTTCGGAGAACAGCGGCAGTAAGTTAAACAGTCCCCTTTGCACGCGATGTGTATACATAGAGCCGCGCTATCGAGGCGTCCCGGCTCTGTTTATATTCCTCCAAAGAAGAGCTGTAGCTTTCCCCCGCTTTGTTTAGCTTAGCTAACCGGGTGACCGTGCTCCCAGCCTCTCTGCCTCTTGGCCACGTCCGTCCTTTGCAAAACGTTCTGCAGCAGCAGAGCTGCAAAACTCGCAGCGTTTTGAGTCTCCCTAATCCGGCTGAAATACTCGGGGAGGCGGAACGAATGCATTTTGCTTCTCCAAACGCAATGCCTCCCTTTGTTGATGTTGTTTTCGTCGGGCTTAGGAAAGGGAAGGCTCGATTTTCCCCCTTCCTCGACACGGAAGTCCCAATTACTGTATTAAAAGAGCAATTCAACGTTGGACCAAATAATCGACATTGATAATTGTGCTGAGCGCAGCAACCTAACAGCAGGCTCCCTGCAATTACCCACACATTCCGAGGCTTTAAGCGAACATTATCTCTGTTTCACTTAACAGCAAATAAAGCAGAGAACAGTCCATGCCGGGCGTGTTTTCTCGCTCCCTGCCTTCCCCGGAACTCTCCCGATGGCTGGGAAAGGCGTTTTGGGGTCCCCCCGCCTTGAAAAGTGGATGAAACCAATATGCTGCTTGAGGGGGTGTCGGGTTTTTATTATTATTCTTATTTTTACTTTTGGGAGCGAGCAGCGGGGAGGAGCAGTCTCAAAGTAGGCATCGGGGCCGCACGTGTGCGCGCTGTGCCCGCGCACACACACGCCCGGTTCGCAGAGGGTGGCCGGGCTGCAGCCTCCCCCGGTACCCCCCACTCCCCCTAACGCCTCCCCCTTGCCTCGATTTCCCTTTGTGTGCAGGAGCTGCCCCCACCTCGGGCACGTACAGCCTTGTGCCAGCGCTGCCCCGGCTCTGCCACGGGGTGAACGCGGGGGGGGGAGGGGGGGGCCGCAGCCGGGCCAAGTAGGTGGCGTCCCGGGGCCGGGCAGCCCTGTCGTGTCTGCTCTGACACAAGCTGAAGTTGACTGCCAAAGTGCTATAAAACCGCAGGTCAGTCTAGAACTGTTTTCGGTTCTCCTAGACGCGCCGCGTTCAATTATAGCCTTAAAAGCCGTAATACAAGTGCAAGAATTTGTTTGCCATCACCCAGAGGCGGGGCGAGGCTCTGCAATGGTGGCGCCTTTGTTATCTCAAAGTCACCGAAATCCCAACGCTGCCTCTCTGTGCGCGGGGAGGGGCGGCAGTGCGGGGGGACGGGGGGGGGCACGGTCCGTGCCGGGTGCCCAAAGAGGGCTCCCACCCCTCGACCCCCCGCCTTCCTAGGCGAAGAACCGGGATAGAAATGAGATGCGTTAAAGAAAAAGCCAACCAGAGCTCTTGCACCCCCCCACCCCAAGTTAGAGGAGGGGGGAGAGAGGGAGAGGGAGAATCCCCAAGCGTTTTTACAATCCCCAAACGACAACGCAGTCTTCTGCTAGCGGTTTTGACGACATGCGATCCCTTTCCATCCACTTTCTAGCAAACACGTCAAGCCTGAAGATTAATTCACTAATTTCAAGTTCAGCTCGCAGACACGCAGCGAGCATAAGAAGTTCTCGCAGCAAACCAAAATAAAGAGTTCATTACGGGGATACGTCCGGAGCGTTTGATTTGTGAACGGTAACCCTTGTAAAATAAGAAAACGGCATATAAACATTAATGCTAATAAATTAGTTTACTCCACTACAAAGTAATTACTCGATAATATTGAATTTACAGCTCGAATTCAAATGCATCAGTTAACTATAACGTAGAGAAAATACATAATGAGAATTTTTTTTTTTTTTTTGCAAGCAACATGATTAGATTTGTTATCGAGTCGGTTATGATAAGCTGAGCAATAAATAAACAAATCGATGTTGATATTTAAATACCGAAGTTCTCCAGAATTTACTATAGAACTTTCTCCGGATATATAAATAGTCCCCCATTGCCACTGGGGCACAGACCTAGAGCTCCATCTGATTTTATCAGAGCACCGACACCACAACAGCCTTTTGCCGCTCTATTTTTCTGTTATGATTAAATCCAGCCGGAACCCAAATGTTTCTTTTCTGAAATCGAGCATCAGAACAGCAAAAAAAAAAACTTTTTATTATTTTTCCCAACAGCCGAGGGATGTCCATGCCTCAAAAGGTGCTGTATTCTTTGGCGTATTTCTCTGTTTTCTTTGGCTGCTCTCGTTCGGTGGGGTGTGCATTTTTTATTGGCAGAGAAGTACTTTTTAGTCTCTGCCCTGTACAATCCGCTTTCTATATCATCCCTTTCATGCAACAATAGTAAAAATTTAACCACGTTTTTAAAATAGGTCTCCCCGGGTCTCAGCCTTCGGCGACGGTACGAGGCAGAAAGGAAAGGATCTCGGGACGGCGAGTTTGTTCCTAGGGGTTAACAGTATGTCAAATAATTTTAACTGGGCTTCTGGCAATTAAAGCCGGAGTATTTGTCGAAGCGGGGCAGCCCTACATCCACCGGTTTTCCGAGCGGTTAGAGGCGGTGCGGACGCGAAGAGATCAGCAAACGCTTTTTAGCCCAGTGCTCTGCAGTTTAAAAGGCTTTTCTGGCGTGGCAAATAGGCAGGGGATGGTTCGGGGAGGCGGGGGTGGCGGTGAGGAAAGCGAACCTGCGTTCTGGGAATCCAATACTGCTAAGTACCTCTGGTGAGGCTTGGCTGGAGCCGCACGGGGTATTTGAGGTTAATATGTAAGGGAGGGAAGGAAGACACTAAGCGCTTCGGAAGTGAACATGAATGCAAGCATGTAATCTATTCACCATGAAAATCAGTGCAGACTTGACCCAGGCACATTCTTGCTAGGAAGGTTTCCAGCAAAACCCTGCAGGGCGAGGGGGCTTTAAATATATATATAATTTTTTTGTGGGGAGAGTGGGGGGTGGGGAGGTGGGGGGCATGGGGTGAACCTGAAGACCCAACCAAGGCAAATGTACCAAAAATAAATAAATAAGGAAAAAAATAAAAGGGGAGGAAGCCATCAACCCTAAACTGACCGCTTTCCCAAAGAGCGCTTCCTGCTAGGAAGCAGCTTTCTAGAAGGAGTCGTTGCTTCATTTCTCCTGCTCCCTTCCTTTCGGAGCCTGCCAACGAGCCGCCACACACCCCAGCAAGCGAACAAACAAACAGAGAGCTCTCACCTAGCCCTGTGGGCATTGCTAAGTGCTGCAGAGCCAGGGGGTGCGAGGGGCCGGGCGCTAAGTGTGGGGCAGTGCCGAGCGGTGCCTTTGTATCCTGCACTGTATCGGGGCCAACCTGCGCGCTGCTGCGCTGTGCTGCGCTGGGCTGGGAGGGCGGCGGGGGCGGGCGGCGCGGAGCCGTGCGGTGCGGGTGCGGGGCCGCGCGGTGCGGGTGCGGTGCTGTGCGGGGCCGTGCGGTGCGGGGCCGCGCCGCGCCGCGCCGATCTGTTGCTTCCCCCGAGATGGCTACAAAGAGGCGCGGGCCCGCAGCCGCCGCTTGTCAATTTGCACGGCGCGTCACGTGGCCGCACCTCCCCGCCGAGGCCGGAGGCTCTCCACGTCAGCTTACGTCTCCCAATTTCTTACTTCACGGATCTGCTTCAAAGGGGCAGCTGCGCTAGAGAATCATGTTAAGCTCAGCTAATGCGGAGAAGCCGAGGTAGCCCTAATGATGGATTTTGATGAGCGTGTTCCTTGTTCCTCTAACATGTATTTGCCAAGTTGTACGTACTACGTCTCGGGTCCTGATTTCTCCAGCCTCCCTTCTTTTCTGCCCCAGACCCCGTCTTCTCGCCCTATGACATACTCCTACTCCTCCAACCTGCCCCAGGTCCAACCCGTGAGAGAAGTGACCTTCAGGGAATATGCCATTGATCCCTCCAGTAAATGGCACCCCCGGAACAACCTGCCCCACTGCTACTCCGCAGAGGAGATCATGCACAGAGACTGCTTGCCTTCCACCACCACCGCCAGCATGGGCGAGGTGTTCGGCAAAAGCACCGCGAACGTCTACCACCACCCCAGCGCCAACGTCTCCTCCAATTTCTATAGCACGGTGGGCAGGAACGGGGTCCTGCCGCAGGCTTTCGACCAGTTTTTCGAGACGGCGTACGGCACGGCGGAGAACCCGTCCTCCGCGGACTATCCGCCGGACAAGAGCGGCGAGAAGGCGCCCACGGCCGCCGGGGCGACGGCGGCAACTTCAAGTTCGGAGGGCGGCTGCGGCGGGGCGGCGGCGGCGGGGAAGGAGAGGCGGAGGCGGCCGGAGAGCGGCAGCAGCCCCGAGTCATCTTCCGGCAACAATGAGGAGAAATCCGGCAGCTCCAGTACGTATAAAGGCAGCGCCCGAGCGCTTTCGGAGAGGGACTTGGAAATGTAGCGCACCGCCGCTGTTAAATTTTTATATGCTGTTTTATAAGCATATAAGGTTTATGAAGGGCCTTTAGATTTCCCCCAACAAAACTTTGTTATAAAAGGCGAGATCACGTGTTTAGTGCTGAAATTGGCCGTGAAATACCCACCGGGCGACGGATGCCTTTAAAAAATTTTCTTTCTCCTTCCTCTTTTTTTTTTTTTTCTTCTTTTTTTTTTTTTTTCGGGAATCGTAATAAAGGGGGGCTCTGCGGTCGGCTCTCGAAAATATAATAACGTGCGTCGGGCGCCTGTAAATTCGGCAGAGAAGGGCGATCCCGGCTCCTTTGATACCGATGTAATCCCGTGATTTTATAAAAGCCATGTGTTGCACCGGGAGCCTAGTTAGGAGCCGCATTCAAAGCCATCGCCGCTTTAACGATTGCGCTCGAGCCGCGTTGAGCAGATAAAGTAGCCGCCTGAACTGTAGCAATATATTAAAAGAAACAAATTAACCTAAAGCTGGCCTTTTTGTCTAAAGGAAGCCATTTTACCCGGGCGCTGTGGCAATTACGCGTTGCCTTCTGTCCAACAGTTTGTTACTTACAATTGTTATTCAATCTGTCAAAGGCTGATTTTTTTATGTGGGCTTTTTAAAAGGCAACGCCAGTATACAGCTCGGGGAAAAATACCTCGACAATGAACTGTACCAGAAAAGGAAGTTTTTAAAGGGGTAGCGGCTAGATTGAATGCAAAGGGCTTCTGAGCCTCGAGCCCTTTTCTATTGCGCTTAATGAACTTTAAAACCGCGGCGGCTAAGCGCGAGGAGAACACCCCGAGATGGTGGCCGAGCGTGCTGGAAAGCTGCCGGCAGAGCGTGCGGCTGCCGCGGGCGCGGGGCTGCGCCGTGCCGGGGCCGCGCGGTCGCTCTCGGCCTCCGGAGCGGGGAACGGAGCTCCGTGGGGTGCCCGGCTGCTGCGGGGGCGGCGGGGGGCGGCCGCTGCCCGATCTCAGCTCGCCCGGCTCCGGCCGAGCCGCCTCCGGGGGCTTCCTCCCTGCCTCTCGCCCCTTCCTCCCGCGGAGCGAGGCCTCAGCCCAGCTTCCCGGCGGGATTCCGCCCTGCCCGGGGCCGGAGGCGTCCCGGTGGGTCCCGGCTCCCCGCAGCTCTCTGTGCGCTCAGTCCTGCGGCTGCCCAGGGCGGCCGCGGATCGGGCGGAATGAGCGTTGTAGCGTGTCGAGGTGCTTTACCCCTCTGTCCCCCCGTCCCGGCCCCGCCGTGACAAACCCTTCTGCCTTTTCTCGCTCCACAGGTGGACAACGGACCCGTAAAAAGAGATGCCCCTACACCAAATATCAGATTAGAGAGCTAGAAAGGGAATTCTTCTTCAGTGTCTACATAAACAAAGAGAAACGCCTCCAGCTCTCCCGAATGCTCAATCTGACCGACCGCCAAGTAAAAATATGGTTTCAAAACAGAAGAATGAAAGAAAAAAAAATTAACAGGGACCGATTACAATATTACTCAGCTAATCCACTACTCTAAAACTCGTAGCGTTTTTCAAGACGAGATTAAATTCAGATTTTGCCCTTGACAAGGTCAAGCCACGAGGTTACGTGGAGGAAGGAGGTGTGTATCTGACGGGACTCGAAGAAACCGAGGTTTTCCATACATGTAAATCTGCTCTGGACCTTCCATGACGGTTTATTGTTTTGTCTATATATTTACGTTCCAACTGGAATCGGTTTGATTTTGCCACACGTGGCGTCCATCCATTTCCACCGCGCGCGTCACCTCCGAGCGCCCGGCCCACGCCTCTCACCTTCCCGCACCGCGTTGGGCAGATCCGGGAAGGGACAGGGCTGTCCCCGTGTCCCGCTGCCCCCTCGGAGCGTGGCGTGGGCACCGGCACCGCGAGCGGCCGCAGCCAGGACGCAAACTTTGGGAAATGATCTCTCGTCCTTCCCGGAAGGAAAATGTCTGTGGTTGAAGCAGTGCGCCATTGCCAATGGGTTTGAGAGGGGAATTAAGGGAGGGGGGAGAGAAGTAAAAGGGGGGAAAGAGGGGGGGGGTGACATGCCTACACCTTCACGAGTCTGACCACGAGCAGTTGTAACACGGATGTAGGATGGGTACAATAGTGTTTCCTTTGGGGTGGGAGGAAGCGGGGATGGGGGTGGGAAGAGAAAGAAATGAAAGACTGAAATATTTACTTTAAAAAGAAAAAATCAGGTATAAATTTGCCATACATCGCAAAGAAACAATCACTGAAAAGAAAAAGGAAAAAAGCAAACAAAACAAAACAAAGCAAAGATTTCTCAAATTATAACTAGCACTCATTTTATTTATGACAACGGCCTGTGCGTTGCCATCTTTTCGGAGACAAATCATATTAAAATGCTAAAAATAAACCTTTTTTTAAAAAGCGTGAATTTCAGCGTTTTAAAAGAAAAAAAAATACGGAGAGGAAACTGACCTTCTGGCTTCTGGCTCACAAACTTTCTTCAGGAAATACCTGTGGAGAACGACAGTTTAGCAAATACCACACAACACTTAATTGAAACTTGGAGTTGTGCAATGCGCTAACGTTGGATCATTAAAATAACTCAATTGCATGCTCTTGTAAAGGTGACCAGTGAGGAGTTTAATCAGAAGCCAAACAGTGTAAATACGGTCATTTTGTTGTCGTCTACTTTAAATGTCACGAGCTCTACTTTGTCGCCCAGCCGACGGATGCAAAGAACGGAGAGTTGTTCGGAGTTATTTTAAGTATCTATAAATATATATATTTCCCTGCAGGAACCAAAGCGTGGAAGAAAAAAAAAAAAAAAAGGAACCAAAAAAAAAAAAAAAAAAAAAAAAAGCAATTTTAAAAAGAAAAAGAGGGAAAAAAAGGAAAATATTTAAAATTCTATATCGGTTTACAAAGGCTACGGAGTTCTATCGTTAAGGTAATTTGCTGATGAGAATATCTGAATGTATATTTCATACAGGAGCGATGTTTTACAAGACTTGTAAATAATAAAAAAGAGGAACCCATGACCTATTTTATTCGAACGCCTTTTTTTTTTTTTCATTTTTTTTTCTCCTATTGGGCTGAAGGGTGTGGGGTTTCTTTACATGTGCAACAAAGTGGTGATAAGGAAGTTTTTTGATGAGTAAATTTACCAAATGGATGTAAGTTCTTTGTCACGGTTCACCAAACGCAGTATCTTTATATGCCATCACTGTTTTCCATATGTATCGACTATGTGTATATACCGTTTTCTTTTAATATCTGAAAGTACTTGGTTGCATGTATACAGTGGAACAGCGCACAAGGCAAATAAAAACAATGGAAACTTTCTCTTTTTCATTCTGGCGTCGCGTTCCTGCATGTCGCTTTGCCTGATGTGGCTTTGGCACCCGAAATTCCTCATGACCTTGTGGGGTCATTTGGGGAGAAACGATTGTCCTTTTGTAGAGCTCGGCTGTTAAGTCTTCTGCCTTGGTGTGGCCAAGCAGACGTGGTCTGGTTAGGAAAGGAAGGTGGAGAAGGCTCCTCGTTAGGCCGTGTCCTTGTCCTGTGGGGTGAGGTCCCTTGTCACACCGGCATGTGACACCGCAGTGTGCCCCACCACGTGTGGCAGTGTAAGCGGTGCTGGGAGTGCTTGAGACTCATTTTAGAGACCCGTCCCTAAATAAAAGGGACGGACGAGCCCTCTGTGGATGGAGGGCTCAGGAGGATGAGGGCCCTAAGAAAACCATTGCCTCCTTCGAGAAAAAAACGCGCCTGGCAGCGCGGTGGAAATGGGCCGGCTGGGGTTGTCCTTGATCTCCAGGGCAGGGAGGGGTGGGATGGGGCGGGGGGAGGGCTGCAGGGAGAAAATAGATGGGGGGGAGGACCAAACCAAAACAATGGCTGGGATGGGAACGTGTTTTGGGAAGAGCAGCCGAATGTTGAGTGTTGACCCCGGTCTTGATCGGGAGAAGAAAGTACATTCTGTTTTCACATTGTTTGCTGGCTTTGAACTTCTGTATTGCTTGGACATCACCCATAACCTTGAGGTGAAGCACTCCCACTGACGCGGGCCTTGCTGACAACCACCGCCGGCCAGACAGCGCCTCGGCGGAGGGAGCGCTGAAAAACGAAGGGAAGGGAGGCTCTGGTGTTTGTTTGTTTGTTTGTTCGTCTGTCTGTCCGCGGGGAAGGCGAGCCGAGAGGGGACGGACGGACGGACAGGCAGCAGGCAGGGAGAGAGGGACGGATGGGGAGCGGACGGGCAATGAAAGTTTAGCGAGAAAGCTTCCTTTCCCTGTTAAAAATTAACTGGCATTCACGGCCAATCCCAGAGACAGTTAAACTACGGAGTTTCTCCGCTCGGGGTTTGATTTCCTAGCCCAATAAAATCGCATCCTCTGTGTTGCTGTGACAATGCGGCCATAAAAAGTGTCCGTGACTTGTCCGCTCGCAGAGGCGGAATGCACCGCTATAAAGGCGGCGGCTGCCGCGCCGGGCGGAGCGGGAGGTGAGCGGCCGGCGGCCCGCGGCGGGGCCCGGGGCTGCGCGGGACGGCGCGGCCGCCAGATGGCGATCGTCAGATCAATGTCAAAGCCGCCGGCCGAGGAGAGCAGCCCGGCGGAATCTTGGCCTTTGTTCACTTCGCGGCCGCACGCTCAATTAGCGCGAGGGACCCGGCGGAGGTCGGGCCGCGGGGCTCCGGCGTAGGCGATGCGCGGAGGTAAGTGCTCTGTGCGTGCCCCGCGGCCAGAGGGGACGGCGGGTGCGGTGCCAACGCGGGGCGCGGGGAGGGCCGGCCTCGGCACCGGCAGTGGAAGCGGAGCTCGAAAGTTGGTGATTAAAGCGGTGAATGAACGTCGCAGGGGCTTTCTGAGGCGCTGCTGACCTTTTTCTGTTTCTTGGTAAAGTTTTGGCCGGCGGCGTGGAAAATCCACGGTATCTGGAAATACTTTTTTTTTGCAGAGAAACTCGTAGATTTCTTCCAGTTATAAAAATTGTAGCGCTGGAAATATTATGAAACTTGACATTTATGTGGGGAACAGTAGGTGTCTTCAATCAACTAGATCTATGGCAACCCAGACTACAAATGACAGACAATTCTGACGATCTTATTGGACTTGAACTGTAGTTTAGTTAGGGTCGCTTGGTAACTTAAAAGGAGAGCCTGCTTCCTCGCAGCTGGATGCAGCCTGTGGTAAACAAGTTTTGACACACTTATGCTCAAAACTAAGCATGCTGTTGCACGTTAAGTCAGCATGCATGAAGGACCAGATTGGCCGGCCGTCCACCCATCCATCCATCCATCCATCCATCCATCCATCCATCCATCCATCCA